TCAAAGTTCGTAGGGAGATTCTGTTGCATGTATTTTCGATGATTTGTTGACTATCTCTGAAAATCATTAGAGCTTTTAGCTTTTTACCTGAGCTTGAACCAATGAATATTAGTTAAAAATAAGAAAGAGGTCCCAAAAGCCATCACTGTATGGAACATAATAAATATAAAACTTGTGTAGGATTTGCCATAAGTTATGTAGTGATTTTCACTTTCATGTGAAAAACGTAGGAATATAATTTGAAATCGATCTTAGAAGGATTTTCATGTTTCAAAATTGGATAATTTTGAAATTGCTCCAAACTGCAGAAGATCGGATGTGCGGATAGTATAACAGTTAATAATTCGGAAAGAGAAATCGACGTGCCGAGTTCGAACTCCGGCTGAATTCGCTACATTCCGGCTGAATTCGCTACATTCCGGTTGAATTCGCTACATTCCGGCTGAATTCGCTACATTCCGGTTGAATTCGCTACATTCCGGCTGAATTCGCTACATTCCCGCTGAATTCGCTACATTCACTTTCGCAGAAATGCTTTTGGGAAAGTTATGAATGCGTGTCTTCTCCCCGCCAGTCACAACTTAAATAGAATGACTGATTGGGGTCCCTTTCTTTGAGGTGACAACCAATCTAGGAGTAGGAAAAGATTCAATTCAAGACAGGGCTTCAAGAGAGATGTGCTCTGTCAGGTTAACTGCCCTAGGTACACCACAGCTTATACGGCTGCAATACATGTGGCGCACCTTCGATTGTAATAAATGTAATTGTGATATTACAGGATATTAATAGGGAAAAGTGACGTGACTTTAGAACTTTAGAAAGACCCTGTATCATCAGAAACAAGACTGTTTATATATAGCGACTCAATAAACAGCGGACAGTAAAACCGGAGAAGCGATTTCAAATTTCCTTTATCCAAGGAACTATAGAAGAATATTTTCTTGATAATTTTAAAACTAAACAAAGCATCTGTCTATATTTCTGAGATGAGATATTATGTACACTATTTACATTATTCGGACTATTGCCCTCATCTTTGTCGCCATATTTATCACATGGATAAAGGCGTCGGTTAGATCCAGTGACAGGACCCAAAGAGTGTGAGTTCAATACCTGGTTAAGGCAGTGGAGAACTTGGAGAGGGAAATTAACAGGAGATAACTGATAACTGACATCCAGTAGACATGACACGTGAAACTAGGACAGTCTACTCCAGCGAGCAAAATAAATGTTTCAGTTCGACATTCCAACCACCTGAAGAAGGCCGGAGAGTACAACGACCGAAACGTTGTGATAAATAGGGCAACAAAGATGAAGACGATAGTCCGAATAATGTAACTAGTTTAGACTAAAAATGCCTATTTGAAAATACGATAGCTTTACTGATATTCAAATTCTTTTAACACATCCCCAGTTTAGGACGGGTGCTTTTACATTTATGAATGGAAATATGATGGAATGGAATCACAGATCATTTTTTCCTGAGTAGTGAGCGCATCATACTTGTGACCTTGTACCAAAACTAAGATAATCTTAATAAATATTATTACCTCGCTATCGTGTATTGGTTATCAAACAAGTTTAACAGTCTCTGTTCAATCTTAACTAATGTCCTTGTGTTATATGAAATTAAGCTTAATAAAAATTCTAGGAAGATAGTAAGAATACTGTGACTTTACGAGAGACAAATAAATGCGATTTTAGATAAGATTACGATGGACATGGTTAGAAAGAGGACATATGATAAGAGAAAAACCGAATGTCTGTTAATGACGTCACTTCTTCTATGTGCTGTGTTCCTTCAGAATGTGATCGATCATGGCTTTTCACAACTTTCTATCATTTGTAGTTCTTGATAGGATTTTATTTTATCACTCCTACTCCTGTTCTATGATCATTTATATAAGCTCGTTAGGTTGCTTATTTGCTGCTTTCCTCTATGCATCATGTCTCCAGTATGCCCTGTAAGTGTTAAATTTTCTAAGCCCTCTTTCCTCATTATGCGCCTTAAAAATTTCAACTCTCTTGCAGATTCGAAGTGTAAGTGTCCTTTTTTGTTTCCATTTTCTCTAAAACTTCGTCGTTGCTCACATGTTTATTGTCAGCATCCTTCTGTAGAGCTACATTTCTGTTGCTTGAAGTTTCTTGTTCATCTGTGAGAATATTGTCATGCATTCACTGCCATACAGATAAACCGATATTATGTAGTAATCCAGTACTTTTTTCTTTGTTTCTCATGAAATTTTCATCTTTCTTTGTTTAGCATTTGGAAGGGTGCCTTCCAAAAGCTAAGCATACTATTAAGAAATAAGAATTTTTCCTGAGAAACAAAGACAACTAAAATGTTATGCAATAGAAGTCCCCCTATACCACAGCGAATGCTGGGCAGATGAAGAAGAGAATCTTGTTCTACAGAAGGATGCTGAGAATACCATGAACTGAACATGCGAACAACGACGAAGTTTTAGGGAAAATGGAAACAAAAACATCAAAAAGGAACGGTTGAAATTTCTAAGCCACATAATAAGGAAAGAGGGCTGCGAACAGTAAATTGATGGCGGAACAGTGTTTAGAAGAGATAACAAAAAAAAAAATTACTAAGAGCTGCAAAGGGCAGGAAATTTTGGAGAGCCATGATCCTTAACATCCTGAAGAGACACAGAACAAAGAAGAAGAAGAAGTCATTTTAAGTGGAACGATTTTGTCAGCCATGTTTAAAGGAAAACAGTAATAACGCATATGGCAATAAACATTGGTTATCAAATAAAACGGGTTATATTGGTAAGGCCAAGGGTAGATTTCGGGAATCTTCTTTGATAAGAAATCGTGACAAGGAAATAGAAAATATTGCCAAAATCCAACAGTTGCAAATTAGAAAGAGAATGTAGAAAAAGTGCACAAAAAAGTAGGTAGAAAAAAGAGAGCAAAAGAATTATAAAGAAAACTAAGAATAATTTGTTAATAGAGGAACGAAGAAGGGGAGTAAATGGAAAGAGGAAGAAATGCATTACAGCCCAATTCGATCCGATAAAGTCCACAAATCCGCACTTGTGTTAAATGCGAAATCCAGAATTTTTCTATATCTGTATAGCATGCTCATTGCCAGAGATACATCTAAAGGATTTGAACGCAAAGAGCTTTTTTTTTAATACTGTTTGCCAAGAATTTAACCCTGCTACATTTATGCGTGGGGAGAAGAGAAAGAGTTATAAGTTTCCCATAGGGACTTATGTGAAAGGGAATGTAAGAAACTTAACCTGAATTCGAACTAAGTTCGCCGATTTCACAGTCCTAGCTGCTAACTGTTACTTTACCAATACAAATAGAAATATTTACACAAGGCTATATGCAGGTTGTACCTAGCAAAGATCTAACTATTTACTAAGTAGTAAGGATCTGCTAGACAAGCTTATTAACCAGTACAACACAGCGAGGCAGAAAGACACAGTTGAAAGAGATGCCGAGATCTCATTAATGATAAAACACGAGGTCGAGAATATATTAATGAAAATTATGATTGATTTTTATTAAAGACCGTAGATAAGTCGTAAATCATAAGGTTTTAATTTAGTCGTAAGGCATGGCAACGAATTCTATTAATATTTGCTCTTGCATATGGAAACAAAGAAATGCTATCGTCTAAATTAGTCGATTAAATAATTTCTTACATACGAAAAGGTTAAGGATCACAAACCGTAAGTGTTAACTTAATTATTTCTATGAAACATGGCCATTATCAATCTTTTTCAATAGTATTTCATTCATTTTAATTTTATTGCAATTTCATCACAACCCTCGTATAGTTTATAGATTCTACGACCTTTAAATAATATGTTAAGTAAATGGACCAGTATTTTTTTTATTTTGTAAATATTTCAACTGAATGGATAGAAAATATAATCTACTGGATAAGTGTTGCAATTTTAAAACTAGTCGGAATTTCTTTTCTGTTCATGTTGCTTACTTAATGGTCGAAGATTGTGAAAACGACCTGAGTGTTACGATAAGAATCAAGCAAATGAAACGTGAGATAAACGGCGCGAAAAAATTGATGATAGCAGAAAATGTGTTATAAAGTAATTTTTAGCAAAACGTGAACGATTTCAAAATAACTAAAATTTACAGTATAAAACGAACTTGAAAAACTAAAATATGGCCGACTGTTCGTAATCGGAATATTTTTTGTTACATAAAGTTCTGAAGTTGATGCAATAAACATCTATTGCAGTAAAAGCTGGCATATTTTAAAAAAATAGAATAAGGAAGCGAAAAAGAAACAATTATAATCACCAAAAAGCAGAAAATCAAAACAAGGTGACCAGTTATCAGTCTTCACTCTTAAGCCAAACAGTAATGGATGAACTTTTTTTTTTAATATATTTTTCTTTTCTTTTCGAATTATTTTATGGTAATTGTATATTTTTCTTTCTCTGCTTCCTTATTTCATTTTTATATGCTCGTTTTTTACTGTAATAATAAAATTGTGTACCCGCTGAAAAATATTTACAAAATCATTTCTTCGTTAATGATAATATTGACTCCCCCCAAATACACATCACGGGCTACATCCATTTTGTTCTGAAACTGCTTAATAAGCAAGGCCGGAACATTAATTCCTTGAAGAAATTGGGAAATGACAAGAGCGACACGCTTAAATATATTGACTTGAAATAAAGAAATAGGATACGCAACTCATTAACCTATTGCAATGTCGACAGAGCATTACTTTGTCGTTTCTCAAATATTTGACAAGACAGATAAACCGCATTCAGAATTTCGTCCTCTAATGATCTTCATCTGAACCCATGCAAAAACTCAGCGATACTGTGCAAAAACAGGTCGTAACTTTTTTTTCTAAGCGTAGCTTAGTTTGCTGCACAGGGTCGACATGTGGGGTACCCAGCGAACATTAAACCTATTATTCCGTGTTCGGCACAATCGTCATGTTATGTTCCTTGTTGGACATGCACGGAGCATGATGCAACGACTCCTTGCGTGGCTTACGGACATATCACATTGAAACACCGGTGCTCGTCGATTTACCGAAGTTAAGCATCGTTGAGCCTGTCCAGTACCTAGATGGGTGACCGCTGGGAATACCAGGGATTCTAAGCTTAATAATGAGGGTGGTGTAATAGATAACGGTTCAGAATGAGAAATCGAAGAGTCGATTTCGAATTCAGTGTCGAGTTCATTATATTAAACTGCGTGTAAATACCCTTGGGAAAAGGTATGAACCCATCTCTTCATCATGTTTCGACTTTAAATAACATTAAAATGTTTGACACTTGTTGTTTGTCAGCAAAAGGTTCAAACGCAAAGAATAATACAGCTTAATCGGAAAGTCTTGTAGCATACATACGGACGATAATAGGTGTGTCCCAATTCACATAAATACAGTAGTATATATGTTGGTCTGCCGTTGGAGTTTCGTCTCCAGTTGTGCTGCTCAAACTTTCTGCTTCCGGGCAGAGAGAATCTCCAGACGTGGCTATGTCGAAAGGCAGAGTCTCGTCTCGGGAAACAGCTACCCGACCCCGTTTTATACGGGATCTACGGGGAAATTTTGGCCGGGCCTACGGGCTCGGATATCCCACATTAAATTCGCCCTTGTGCCACATCTGACTGCGTAGGGTGGTTGGTATATATTCTTCAGTCGGAGATTCTTCTCCATCTATGCTGGTCAAACTCTCTGCCTCTGAGCAGAGAGGATCCCGAGACTAGTCTATGTCGAAGGGCAGAGTCTCGTCTCGGGAAACAGCTACCTGACCCCATTTTATACGGGGTCTACGGGGAATCTTTGGCCGAGCGTGCGGGCTCGGATACCCCACATTAAATTCGGTCACACACACACACACACACACACACACACACACACACACATATATATATATATATATATATATATATATATATTTAAGGAAAAAACAGACCACTTTATTACAGTGTAATTTTTGTAATTTATAAGGAGCTAATAGTTAAGTTACGAAGAACTTGGTAAACCGAATGGGTAATTCCAAGGAGCATGAAATCATGAGAGCTCAATGTGAAGAACAGAGCTAATATTTAATGAAAAAACAGACCACTTTAAGGTACCATTACAATAATTTATTTCACCAAAATTACAAAAATTACACTACCCATCAATTTCTAATCCCATTTTTCCTTTCATTTCGTTGTTGGAAGTGTTACCTGATGATCCGGAGTCCTTCAAAAAGGATTTTGATTTCATCCTCCTTGGAATTACCCATTCGGTTTACCAAGTTCTTCGTAACTTATATATATATATATATATATATATATATATATATATATATATAAAATATAATGTTTGTAAAATGAAACATTCCTATAACTCTAGATACATATATAAAACAATACCTACATTCAGTTAAAAGTAAAAATAAAATCATCCTTGATAATGGCTAAAAGTAGTATAGCCGAAAAATCTCAAGCATACAGAACATTCTGCCATTTTCTACATATTTTATGTCCAAGAAAAAAAAAAAATTATATGGACACAAGAAAACATTAAATAAAAAAAAAACTTAGCTTAGTAGCTTGCCAGTCGTTTTTAATGAAACTTGCATAAAAGTGGGATTGCTGCCCAAATAAATTATATATATATATATATATATATATATATATATATATATATATATATATATATATATATAGACCAACATACATATATAAGCTGGTATATATAGAAGTTGCTTAAGTCCGAGAATCATTCAGCACATACACACACACACACACAATATATATAAACACACGCACACACACACAATATATAAACACACACACACACACACAGACACACACACACACACACACACACACAGACAGACAGACAGACAGACAGACAGACAGACAGAGAGAGAGAGAGAGAGAGAGAGTGGAGTAATGGATAGCGGCTTGGATTGAGGAATCGCAGAGCCGAGTTCGAATTCCAGTCGAATCCATTACATTCACTTACGTGCTAATACCCTTGGGAAAGGTATAAATCCTCTTCTTCTCCCTCCAGCTATGGGTAAAATAGCAGGACAGACTGGGTTCTATAGACTTGGATGGCAACTGGTCTAGGAGAAGGACATCTCTGAATTCAAAACCTGCGGAGGGTCGTTTGGGGACCTTGTGCCACAGTGCACCATGTCTCTGTATTCGTCCCTTCAAAAAGTGTAGATGATCCTGCACAAGGCCTTCACCACTATAATCAAATTTCATGTGCCGGTGTCGGGCTGTCGGTTTTCTGGGAACTAATCTACTTGGCACTCATACGTCGAATCTCGACGGGAGAGTCGATATATATATATATATATATATATATATATATATATATATATATATATATATATATATATGCGTCTATGTTGTGTGTGTGTGCGCACGCCGTGTTGGATTGATGTAAAAATTAATCGGTGAGTTCTTTTTTTTTTCACAGAGGTACTTTGCATTTCTTTCCTTATAATATAATTAAGCCGAACTCCCCACTTTTTTGCTGTCGATAACATGTAGTCCAATAAAACTTGTTCCTTGTTACATGAAGACAAACCGGACACGAACAAGTAACCCTGCTGCATTGATAAGTATGTTGGAGGTCCCAGCACAATCCACTAAAGAGTCTCTTGACCATAAAGTAAATCGTTTTAAATATATGTGATCTCGCAATAACGTGCATTTGGGTTTCTCAATAATTATACATTCCGTTTTATGTCTATTTTGATCCGATAGAGACAGATGTAAAAAAAAAAAAAATGTAACTCTATTTTCGAGCAATGCATTAAAATTTCCCTAGAAACAAAGAAAATAGTACTGAAAAATCATCATATATGGCAATAAATGATGGCCACTTTCCTCACAGATGAAGAGGCAATAGAAATGTGGTTCTACAGCAGTGTACTGAGAATACCATGGGGTGGGGCATGTGAAAATAGAAACAAAAAGGATACCTATAATTAGAATCAGAACTAAACACTGGGATTTCTGATACACAGTAAATTACAGTTTTGGATAATTTGAAACTCACAGGGCATCTTGAAAGAAAGTAGAACAGATGCAGTCGTTGAGTAACCAACCTAAGGAGCTTGTGTAAATGGACAACATTACAATAACTAGGAAGGATAGCAAGGAGACGAATATTGTTTAGAGACACAAAGGGTAAAAAGTTGTGAAGAGACATGATAGTCCATATAAATGAACATAAAATGGCGATCTAAATAACATAAGATTAATAAGAAGTTTTCTGCACATTCAAATTTGATGAACTTGCCATAAGTATTGGGTTGATTGGTTAATATCTCGTGAGATGCCCGACTAATAAGATAATAATTGAGATAATTAAAAAGACGAAGCAAATTCTGCGAATTTTATTTATTTCACGATTTAAAATGTCTCATATATATATATATATATATATATATATATATATATATATATATATATATGAGACATTTTAAAATATATATATATATATATATATATATATACGTAATCGTATATATATATATACTTAATCGTATATACGTATATATATTTACGTAATCGTACCTTTCCCCGACTTGACACCTTGAAAGTATCTCTATACCGCTACTTATTATTAACACCCTACACTCGCCTACCCAATTTAGACAATTCGCCCTAGCTCTTACCATGGGGATTTTGATTTCAATTTTTAAAACAAGTAAATTTCAGATATACGTTATTCCAACAAAAATTTCGCTTGAAGATGGAACGGAGCCCATTTTAATTTCAACTCAATTTAATTTAAAGGATTATATTGAAGTGTTCGGCTCTTGTTTTGAAACATGAGACCTCTTATGTAGCGATTTGGAATCATATTTTTAAATAAATAAATATATATATATATATATATATATATATATATATATATATATATATATATATATATATATATATATATATATATATATATATATATATATATATATATATATATATATATATATATACATATATATATATATATATATATATATATATATATATACGTATATATATATATATATATATATATATATATATATATATATATATATATATATATATATATACGTAATCGTATATATATATAACTGCCTGTAAACAGAAAGAATAATCTATTACAAAGATTATGTGACTCTTTCAGATAACCACGGATTAAAGCTGAATAAAATAGTTAAGTCCGGAGACCTTCCATGAGTTCTATGAATTTTGGCAAATATGAAGACTGTCTCTCGATGACTCTTGCTATTGAGTTCGATCTTCATTACAATTTGGCGACCAATCTAAACCAATCGTCAGGCTAGCGACGCATTCTAGGTAGTCAATTGTATTGCATTGTGGGTAGACTATTGTATTATTCTAACAGCCATTTTGATGGGCGGTAACGTTCGTGTTATTTAATTATTCTAGGGGCTATTGACTGGGAATAATTGTGGATCCGAAAGCAATTTCTGTGCTATTTATGGTGTTGTTAGTTAATTTTTTAGCTAATATGTGAGAAAGAACCGTATCACTCACCCACCCAGGAATACAAACTCTTATATCCACACGAGAATGTTTGATCCACATTCGGAAAGGACTCTGGTTGTTACACCCTCACACAAGCCGAAATTAACTGTCCAGAGTTAATCAATGTAATATTCCATATGACAGATTTGGTCTCGTTTTGTTATTAGTAGTGGACGACGATACTATTAAACTTGATCCTTGATGAATGTTCAAGAGATAAGACTATGAAATAATAATGGACATGTCTAACGAACATCCATAACATTTATTGCAAAAATTCTGCAAATACAGGTTGTAAAAAATAACCTCAATTCTATGTGAGAGTTTTTAATCGCTGCATGCTAAAGTTGACGACACCGCGTTTACATTATATCTGTTTTTATAAATATGAAGATATAAAAGAAAACGCCACAGAAGCTTTTTCTTTCTAAAAATATTTTTATTTCACTCCCATGGGGATAAAAGACGGAAGAAAAGGCCATACGCCATTACAGCCAAATTGTGGCTATTACTGACAAGATAAACTTGAAATGTTGCATAAGAAATGGCGGAAACCGACCTGAAACTCAGGCAAAAGATAAGAATGAAATTGA